CTCTTCCTTTTGTGACTCCTGCAGCCTCTGCATCAGGCGGATTCCGTGCGGATGCGGCACCGGCGCTGCCCGGCAGCACAGCGGCCTCGCACCCGGCCTTGCCAAGGGAAATCACGTCTGCCCGTGTGTGTCGAGGAGGAGCGGGGCTGATTTGGAGATGGGACGTGGGGTGGGTTTGGTTTTGTTTTGTTCCCCCTTTCTCCCTGGCCTCTAGGCAACTCCCGTGCTAGAATGACCTGCGAATCAGTGTTTTCGTGTGGTTATTCCAGTTAAAAGCTTGGTGGATGATAGTTTGTGAGAACCAAGGCTTGATGCTGAAACCAGGCCTGAATTGTGAAGTTTGAGCACCACTAAGCTCTATCTGCAGCCCCTGTAAATGCACGTGTTACTGGGCTTGCAGAAGGGCCCACACTGTCTGGCCGGCGCTGTTCAAGCCTCCCGCTCGGGGGAAAGTAGGAATTGCAGCAGTGACTGTATTGGGAAGCAGAAAAGGTACCTGGTCAACTTGAAGACTTAGAAACAACCGTTTTTAGACCACGTCCCCCAAGCACAGTTTGAAGTCTGCATTTACCGCCCGAGCAGCGCTCGGTGTGGATGGTGGTTAGTAGGAGGGTTGTGCACAGCCTCTGCAGAGGCAAGTGAGGACAAAACTCTTCCATGACTCTTCCATGAAACGCACGGTGCCAGCCCGTAGACACAGGTCGTGTTATCTCTAGATGTCAAACAGATATTTTTTACTCAGGCAAGCGCTTGTTTAGCATGCCGAGTGTGATCCAGTGAATTAAGATGTGCTAATCTCAACTTTTAACACACACTTGGGAGCAGTTAGCACATCCTGCAAGGCTAAACGTGGTGATAATAAATGAGGGTGGTTGATGCTTAGCCCCGCAACACCTGGAGCAGGATGCAGGGGCTCAGGGCCGGGAGGGCCCTGCTGCAGGTGCCACCAGGGCAAGCGCCCAGAGTATCCGGTGCTCTGGGGCCTGGACAAGTCGTGCGTTTGTGTTGTTGAAGCTCTTAGGCTGAAGAGTAAGGGCTGGATGCGAAAGGAGACATTTAACCACCTGTTTTGAACCCACTTTTCCAAAATACTCTTCCAAGGTAGCTGTAGCAGAGGAGGAATCATCTATAACTCTTCTTCTTCCACTGTAATTCAGTTGAACTTTGGTTGATTTTATCTAAAAATGCTTAAGCCACCCCCTTGCCCCTCGGTAGCCTCCGTGTTTGGCCAACAGCAGGTTATGATTTTTCTCCTTCGTTGACTGCAGCCTGTTAGAGCAAAACCCTGTTAAAGCCTGTACTGAGGCCATGGGGTGTAAAAGGCTCATAAAGTATATCCAGGTTAAGTGAAAAAGGGCAGCTTGTAGTGATACAAACACAGCCACTTGTGTGGTATTGCCTTTTAAAAGTTTACATTTTAGTAAAAGGAGCCCTGGGAGAAGCAAAAGAGAAATACCTGAGTTTCCATCGCTTTTCTAACATGCTCCTGGATTGAATGTCAGGCAGGAATTCTGCTGTCCTTGAAGAATCCTGCCGGTCCTTGCACATGCATCTTCCTGCAGAAGGGGTGAGGGGAGTTTCTTGTTTTGCTTCACAAATAACACCTAATCCTTAGGCTCTGCGTCAAGCTGCGCTCTCGGCCCCTGGCTTTTCCTTGTATTGGTAGTGCTGGCTCAGGGTCTCCCCCTCTCTCTTCCCTGGCTATTTTCCAGCCGGATCCGTCCTCTGATACAGTTCAGTGTAGCCTGACGCAGGGCCTGGCTGAGGGAGGAGAGCAGGAAACGCAGATGGGACCGTGAGCTTGATCGGGAGCTCTTGGGTTGTCCTGATCGGGGGAGAAGCTCATCTAGAAACGCTCCCCAGAGGAAACTGCTTCTCCGCCTCAAACAGGGAGTTCATCCCGGAAAACCAAGCCAGGAGGTGGCAAACAAGCCCGGGTTTTATGTGTGCCATCTGGGGCTTGTTCTGGCTGGTGAACCTGATGGCCTGATGTGGGCACGACTGTGGCACATGGAGGTGCGGGAGCACCCGCAGGAGCCTCCGCTTTGCTGAGCGGCTGCAGATCCTGAAAGAAACACCCCATTGCTGTGTCCAGAGCGACCAGGATGACTAAGGGACTGGAGCATCCATGGCATGAGGAAAGACTGAGCGAGCGGGGCCTGTTCAGCCTGGAGAAGAGAAGGCTGAGAGGGATCTGATCAACATGTTCAAGAACCTGAGGGGGGGCAGAATGCAGGAAGATGGGGCCAAACTCTTCTCGGGGCTGGCCAGTGATAGGACAAGGGGTAACAGGCACTAGTTGAAACCCAGGAGGTTCCATCTCCATGTGAGGAAGAGCTTCTTTGCTGTGAGGGTGCCAGAGCCCTGGCACAGGCTGCCCAGAGAGGCTGTGGAGGCTCCTTCTCTGGAGATCTTCCAACCCGCCTGGATGCCGCCCTGTGCCCCTGCTCTGGGTGTCCCTGCTGGAGCAGGGGCTGGACTGGATGATCCCTAGAGGTCCCTGCCAACCTCAGCTGTTCTGGGATTCTGTGTCTTTTGCCAAGAACGGCCCTGATTTGCGTAACCTGCAAAGATTTATGTAACCCTTCGGGCAATAGAAATTCAGTGTGTCCAGGTGCAGTTTTGAGCCATGTGCTTTCCGATAGGTAATTTCTCTGAATTTTCTCCAGCCGTATGACTATACCTCCCAGCGCAGAGAAGGTGGCAGAATAGCCTGTGTTTAGAATATCCATTTTTTTGTTTAATGCACTGACCTCCCCAGTGCTCATTCTCGCGAGGTGCGACACAAGTTCCCCGGCTGGCCGCGAGGGGAGGCTCTCAGAGCTGATTATCTCGAAAGCTTCTGAATCAGAGACATCCTGAGCCTTAGCGGCCGCCGCTTCCTGCATTCGTGTTTGGCCTTCCAACCTCTCCGCGTTTTAGCCCTTGGAAAGCCGAGTGCGTCACGGGAGAGACCTGGCGCCGCCAGGAGCGCAGCCGCGATCGCG